CCTCCATCTCTTCTTCTTCCTCTTCATCTTCCTAGTCCTGCACCTCCTAATCCTCCCCCTAATAGTCCTCCTCCTCCTCCTACTTAACCATTCCCATCCTTTTTCTACCCCTTCCACTCCTCTGCTTCCTCCTCTCTCTAGTCCTTCCCTATTAGCCCTGTTCCCCCTTCTCTTCCTCCCCCATCCTCTTCCTAGTCCTTCTCCTGCTCCTCTTCCTATTCCTTATTCTCTTCCTAGTCCTCCCCTTCTTACCTCTACTCCCTAATCCCCTTCCAAATCTTTCCCCTCCTCCTCCTACTCCCCATTCTATTCCTACTCCTAGTCCTCCCTCTACTTCCTCCTTCCTTAAGTCATCAGTCTCAGGAGGACGAGGGTAACAGATGACCCCCAGGAAGTAGCTGTAAGCACTGTGAGGTTCTCAGCTTCCTGTCTTTACATTAATTGAAAGGAACCGAAGCCTAGTGCAGGATGTCTTGTCGAATCCTACCGTTTTCTATAGGATAATAGATATAGAAACAAAAACACTTTGGAAATGTAAATAAAGGACCTTGGAAATGTGTACATACGACGTAGGGAATGTGCACATAATACGTAGCAACTGTGCAAGGTGAATGTGGGAAAAGTGCACATAAGGTGACCGTAATCAATAAAATTAATATTGTAAAAGGAGCGACGCTTTACTTGTCCATTCATATTTCGGATCATCTGTCTACACAAACACACATAGTACTACAATAATATATATATACACACATAAAGTCATACATTATATAAGCATCTGAATAATATACATAATTATACAGTATGTCAGAAGGTATGAAGATGACGAACATGTACTGTTATCCATCTCTCTCTCTCTCTCTCTCTCTCTCTCTCTCTCTCTCTCTCTCTCCTTTTAACCCAACCCACGCATCATCCCACACTCCCACGCAACCCCCACACTCTCCCAGGCGACCACCCATACACTCTTCCACGCACCTTCCCACACGATCACCCACGCACCTTCCTACACAACCTTCCACGCACCTTCCCACACGATCACCCACGCATCCTCCTACACAACCTTCCACGCACCCTACCACGAACCCTAACCAGACACCCTCCCACGCACCCTAACTACACACCCTAACAACACATCCTCCCCACACCCTCCTACACACCCACACACCTTCCCTTGTACCCTTCCACACACCCTAACCGTAAAACCTCCCACAAACTCTGCCAAACACCCCCTACGCACCCTCCCACACTTTCCCACGCACTCTCCGACACCCCCCCCCCACTCTCCCAGGTACATGCATTACCTTATAGTTCCACACCGGCCCTAACTCTTGCTAAATACTCAATTACGCTTAACTTTATGAAAGTTAGACGTAATGACGGAATGAAAATTAATTTAATTCTCGTGTTTTATTATTATATTATTATTATTATTATTATTATTATTATTATTATTATTATTATTATTATTATTATTATTCAAATTTTTACGATATCATGATATTCTTGAGCAAGAGTTAACAAGACGAGGGTGAATGGTTTAGTCACGAGACCATTCACTCTAGGTCAGTGGTTCTCAACCTTTTTCACTCCATTCCCCCCTTGAGGGGGGAACAGACAAGTGATAAAGACTAAAGAATGATAAAGAAGGACAGATAAATAGGACAAGAGTTAGAATGGCAAACACACACACACACACACATAACACGCTCATGCACTCACACATAAAGCACACATACAGTCATACACAAACATGCACACAGGTAAACATTCACACTCAAGCTAGCAAGCTGAAGTGTACTTCCTGTAAGCAAGAACACGCCTCCTTACAAGCACTGCCCAACTTGGAAGAATGAGAAGAATAGTGAGTCATACCAATTTATCACTAAAAATGGTATGATTATATAAGTAAAGAATGAGTATGAACAACAATGGCACCAATAAATAAGGAAATAATTAATAAAGGAAGTGTACAAATATTTCACCCACGCAAAGCAGCGACCACATGAATTATGAAACAAAATAAGTAACACCAATTACGAAGTATATTTTGCTTGAGTCAAGCTCAAACACAATATATGGTTCAGAGACAATAATCACCACTTGCAAAGGGATGACACACGGACACGTACTGAACAAGTCAGTTCAGCAGCTCGGTCCAGCGCCTGTCACACAGACAGGGACTGGACCTGTGAAATCTTAAATAATACGTAAAAAATAAAAAATTACTTAGCACCAGAGTATGTAAATATTAAAATTGTATTGTCGTTATAATTAAACAAAATGACAAAAAAAATGAAAATTCTCTTCTGCCAAGTCAAAATAAGTAAACAAGTTTTGTTTAATTCAGATTCCCAACATTGTTTGGAAACGTACAATTTATAACAGCTCGCCGTGGCTCCCCTAAATTCTTGCCGTGGCTCCCTTGGGGGCCATGGCCCCCAGGTTGAGAACCACTACTCTAGTGGGTCCATCAACACTTATCATACATAACCCAAGGCCCACACCCACACCCACACCCACACACACACACACACACCTTAATCTGGACACATTACAGATGTGACAAAAACAGAACGACATACCCTGAATAACACGAAACTGTCAATAATCCTAAATATATATATATATATATATATATATATATATATATATATATATATATATATATATATATATATATATATATATATATATATATATATATATATATATATATATATATATATATATTTGAAGATATTTCCACAGTGATAATTGTGAGTTGAAGTGAAAATATTATCACGGTCCAGGTTGAAGAAAAAGTGTTCTGTAACTTATGAAGGAGGACCCATGACGCACCCCGAGCACATATCTAAATACATTAATTACTGAATATCTGCTCCAACTATGTACACACCCACACAACCATAAAACACAAACATTCAAGATTATTTCTCACATACATCCATCTTACACACACACACACACACACACACACACACATAAATGGACACAAACGCAACCACAACTTGACACAATCAACGGCAAAGAAAAAAATCACATTGGCTCACACAAGACACTCCACCACACACCCACACACACACTCCACCACACACACACACTCCACCACACACACACACACACACACACACACAGGCGCTTTCCCCACTCTCCCCCTAACACACAAACAAACACAGACTGCTTGGAGGTGGGCGTATCATGTGCCATCCTTCATTCCAGCCGGGCTAATTACAGAATCAGAACTCCACATTCAACACAGAATTACGTGAATTTTACTTGTCCGCTAAAATTAATACTCGCTAAAAATCTCTATGACGCGGTCTTTTTTCTTCCTCGGTATTAAACTGATGTTGTAAATAAATTAGCGAATTAAATTATCGCTATAAAACTCCTGATATATAATGCACTACATCTGCTTGACAAAATATGCTTCAGTTTTGGCGGTATTCTTGTATTTGTTCGTTTGTCTGTTTTTGTGCGAGAGATTTTATTTCTCTTTCTTTAAAACTTTTGTTTTCTTTCATTAGGTTCATCGTTGCGGGGAAATTAGTGTAAACATAAAAAGGGGTAAAATTAATTGATAATTGAGGAGAGAGAGAGAGAGAGAGAGAGAGAGACTGGGGTCCAAAGAGGAACATTATAAACATTAACCCGTTCGTATTTCTTCATCTCCTTTCTATATCTTCTCGCCCTTCTCCTTCTCATCTCCCTCCTGCTCTCTCTCTACAATCTCTCCTCCTCACATCCTTTCTTCTCCTTCTCCTCATCTCCCTTCACCTCCCACCCCTTCTCACTTCCCACCTCTTCCTCCTCCTCCGCTCCTCCTCCTCCTCCTCTCCTCCTCCTCCTCCTGCTCGTCACCAGGCCTAGGTCTAGAGGATCCAGGCTAGTATCAGTAGTCTGCAGGTCAAGGGAGGATTCAACCCTAATAGGTCCATCTAACTTGACTTAACCTAGCATAACGTTAAGGGTTGGGGTCCACTAATACGGGGGCTTACCAGGATTGGGGCCTAAGAAGACTGGGGCCCATTAGGATTGGAGATCATTAAGACAGGGGCCCATTTAGATTGCGGTCCATTAGGATTGGCATCGATAATGTGGCTCCTCAGGATTGAAGAACATTAGAACTGGGGCCCGTGTGACACTCCGCTGTTAGTAGAGGTGTTGTTACACACACACACACACACACACACACACACACACACACACACACACACACACACACACACACACACACACACACACACACACACACATGCCAACAGTACAATAATTCCTCTCCAAATAATTCAGGAGGTGAATAAATAAACAGAGATCTAATATATATATATATATATATATATATATATATATATATATATATATATATATATATATATATATATATATATATATATATATATATATATATATATATATATATATAATATAATTATTTCTAAGCTGTAATATATTGATTTAATTTCCATATAAGTATGTGTACCGTGTGTTGTTGTAACAATATAATATGACCTGTAAGTGTATCCAGGTTTCGTAAGTTGGAACATACAGTGTATTGTATATAGTAAATGAATTGTTGCACGGAAGAAACTGGAGAAGTAACACGAGCACACTATTTAATAAACTCATTGACAAGTAGACCACAAGCTTTCACGAACCAGACAAAAAAAACAATCTATAACTCGCCAAGAATTGAACTGTTAGGGCTTTGAAAGACGAATGTTAACTCGTAATTCGAAGTTTAACAATGTACCCAATTATTCGCCCCAAAAAATAACACCACATTTATACTGAGCCTCGGCCTTAACTAGATACGTTCACTTAACAACAGTTAGGAGTAAAAATTCAGGTTACAGAATCTTTTCCAAAAGATTCTGTAATTTAATTCTGTCTGGTGTTAAGTGCGCGCATCTCGTTAAGATAGAGTCTTAGTGTAATTACCATGTTATTTTTGGGCATTATTTCTGTGGTGTAGTTTAATTCAAACAATTATGTAGGTTCTTACGTCTTCAGTCAACTACGAGGAACATCTTCAGTCAACTACGAGGAAAATATTCAGTCAACTACGAGGAACATCTTCAGTCAACTACGAGGAACATCTTCAGTCAACTACGAGGAACATCTTCAGTCAACTACGAGGAACATCTTCAGTCAACTACGAGGAACATCTTCAGTCAACTACGAGGAACATCTTCAGTCAACTACGAGGAAAATATTCAGTCAACTACGAGGAACATCTTCAGTCAACTACGAGGAACATCTTCAGTCAACTACGAGGAACATCTTCAGTCAACTACGAGGAACATCTTCAGTCAACTACGAGGAACATCTTCAGTCAACTACGAGGAACATATTCGGTCAACTACGAGGAACATATTCGGTCAACTACGAGGAACATCTTCAGTCAACTACGAGGAACATCTTCAGTCAACTACGAGGAACATATTCGGTCAACTACGAGGAACATATTCGGTCAAGTTACGAGAAACATTTATCGTGGGAATCTTTATTACACCCAGCCGGCCGAGGACACAATGTTCCCTTTCTTAGATATAAACACAGAGTTGAACGAGAATTATCAACAAGGAGACAACGTTAAACACATTAACATAGAGGAAGTGTATAAGTCGCTTTATCTACGGACTGACTTAAGTTGAATATACTGTACACCAACCAAAGAAAATATCCCACACACAAAACAGACAGACAGACATAAAACAATAAACATCTAAACTGATTAACACAGAGCTTATAATCCACGTCATGTGCATAAACTATTACATTGAGCAAATGAAGAGCGTAACTTGATAGCACAAGAGGCCAACTTCCGATATTGCGCTGCAAGTGTCATCAGCCGGGCAAATTATCCAGCGTGTTGCAGCAGAAAAACAGAAAAGTAATTAGAAGCCCTTAGGGTACGGCTCTAACAAAAGTTATAATTAAAGTAAGAGAGAGATTGTAAAATGCTCCATTAATTAACAATTGTAATTACAAGGGAATACTCAGCGCCTCCCCCAGTAATGAACTCTCCCCCCCTTTGAAAGTGTTTTTCCTTAAAATCATAGGTAAAGAGTAAGGCCCTTTTTTTCCTCCTAGCTACGGTGTTGTGTGTGCTTGCTGGAAGAGTATACGAGTCAATTTTTACATATATATTCGTAGTCTAAGTTGAGTTGTTATAACGCAGTGTCTATACTTCGTTCACCTTGGTGTTGTTTTAGCTGATGTGATGTTTGGTGGGAAATTGTGAAGTGGAATGATTCGTGTCTTTTAATTTCGTTCAGGGCGAGTGAAGAACGAAGCGATATATTAAGAGAGGTTAATGAGAAGCACTTGTGAAACTACCACCAGTGTAGTCTGTTTTGTTTCTCTGCACGACGAAGACAACCACAAACAGTCACCACCACCACCACAAACAACCACCATCACCACAAACAACCACCATCACAACCACCACCACAAACAACCACCACCACCATCACAAACAACCACAATCATAACCACCACTACCACCACCACAAACAACCACCATCACAACAAACAACCACCATCACAACCACCACCACCACTATAAACAACCACCATCACCACAAACAACCACCATCAAGGCCACCACCACAAACCACCACCATCACAACAAACCAATCATAACCACCACTACCACCACCACAAACAACCATCACCACAAACAACCACCATCACAACCACCACCACCACTATAAACAACCACCATCAAACAAACAACCACCATCAAAACAAACAACCACCATCACCACAAACAACCACCACCACCACAAAAACACCATCACAACAAACAACCACCATCACAACAACCACCATCAATAGAAACAACCTCCACATCACCACAAACAACCACCATCACCACAAACCACCACCACCACCACCACAAACAACTACCATCACAACCACCACCACCGCTACCACAAACAACCTCCATCACCACAAACAACCTCCATCACCACAAACAACCACCATCACCACCACAAAAACCATCTCCACAAACAACCACCATCTCCATAAACAACCACCATCGCCACAAACAACCACCATCACAAATAACAACCACCATCCCAACCACCACCACCACAAAAACCACCACATACACCCATTACCACAAGCAACCACCATCATCGCAACTTACCACCAACATCACCATTATAACTTACCTCCAACACCATCCCCAACACCACAATTTGCCTCCAACACCATCACCAACATCAACACCAACACCAACACCAGCTGTCTATCACGTCTTTGTTTACGAACTGTTGCCACAATCATCTGTCAGTCACTCACAACCATTCTCACCACCATCACCATCATCACATTTACCACCACAGCCACTGAGAGGCCATAACTACTACCTACCACAATCATTACCATTAAACCTGTCAAATTCATCACTACCAGACCTACCACTACCACCATCACACCCATTCTAACAATCACCATCCAATCCACAGCTTTAACCACCATTATCTTCCACTAGTACATCAATCACTACTACCACAACTCGTAACCAACATAAAGTAGAGAGTGGAAGGGGTAGGTGGAGTGGGGGGTAGATGGAGTGGGAGGGGTAGGTGGAGTGGGAGGGGTAGGTGAGGAAGGTGTAGGGAGGATGAGGGAAGGGTATGAGGAGAGCTAAGGCGGATGTGGTAGGTGTGAGGCGTGTGAGGAAGGTGCAGGGTGTGTGAGAAAGGTGTGAAGAAGGTGTGAAGAAGGTTTAGGCCTTTAGGGTGTGTGAAGAAGATGTGGAATATGGAGGGAGGTGTGAGGAAGGTGTGGGGTAGGTGTAGTGTGGGTGTGGGGTGGTATGGGTGTGGGGTGGGCGTGGACGATGGGAAGTGAATAAGGAAATTGTGAGGTTGGTAAGTCGAATGTGAGGTGGATGAAGAGGGTGTGAGGAGGATAAGGAAAGATGTGGAAGGTGGGTGATGAGAGAGGGAGGTGAAGTGAAAATGAGGGAAGATATGGAATATACGTGTGTGTGCAGGGTTGTGTAATGCGTCTTGTGTGGCTGCATTATGTTAGTGTTTAGGTGCTGGCACTGCTTGCTTCCTCTCGCTTTCAGTTACCACAACTGGCTAGCCCTCGTGGTGAACAAGGAAGCAGCCTTGCGTAAGTCTTCCCCTGGCAGTACACAGCCTCTTCACCATCAAGACTCCTGCTGTGCTTCCTCGTGGCAACACACGGTAACTGGGTGCCTTGGGGCCCAAGGCTAGACCAGTAGAGGATCTCAGATAAGCATTGGGCCCCAGAGGGATGATGCATAGGCCCAAACAAAAAATCTGTGGTGGAGCCCCGCATCAGGCAGACATGCTTACAGAGCTCCAGTAAGACCCCAACGGCCTAATAGGCGGAAACGGTGAGTACACCAACAGATGAAGGCAATGCAAGATGGACAGGGTACTAAGGCGAAACCCAACGAACTGGGCTATCGGCAGTCCATTGCAACTCTCCCCAGTTGTTGCAGCTACCTGCACCACTGGATCAGGAAAAAGGATAGCTAAGATGTGTGGTTGCAGCCTGCGCTCCTCCCTCACCACATAAATCAAATCATCTAGCTCATCATACTTTTCATCATTATCAGAACCCCTAAACCCCAAATGCTATGGCGACAGACGAGTACCGATAGGTAAAGGTAGAGATGGCTGCTGAGAGTCTATAGTCACAACTTTGCACATGGGCGGCATAGATAAACTGGTCATTTATGCAATTAGATCTAGGTTATTTCCTGTCTGTGTGATTGAGCAGTCATTTCCAGGAGCCACTTTCCTAACCCCACATGGGAAAGAGGCTACAAAAGGTGCCCTAAACATAGCCTTCCTAAAAAAAAAGACTTGGCAACAGTACCCAGTAAAGTCAACCTAATGTGATCAAAAGCATAATCAAAGATCAAAGTAAAAAGAAACTATATAACCTCTTATTCTCGCTGCATGTAATGTCAGGAACCTTCTGGATAATGCCACAAGAAGAACTGCCCTGTAGCAAAAGAGCTGTCTAGGTACACTCGGAAACCATATTCTCTAGCCCACCTGGGTCGGTGCTGGAGGTTAGTACAGTGTCCTTTCTGGACGGGGGCCCACTCTAACTATCACGAGGCAACAAACGCACGAACACACACAGTCATAGTACAGCTGTATAGATGATATTATGTATAAATATTGTATATGGCATTTTATACTCTGCATTATCTTCACTATATATGAACACGAAGAAAAATTACCATAGGTTGTAGTTACGAAAGTATGAATGGAAATAAACACTTCCAAACCACCCAGTGACTCCACACAACGTTTACAGAGCTTCCACCACACCCCATCTATATCTTTTTTTTCCCCATCATTTGCGTAACTATATGAAAAATCGTATTTAACTACATATTTCAAAAACCTTAAATTACATGTGGATCAGTCACTCCTCATTTGACACACATATAGTGTAATACTTTGACCATCCCACCTGGACACATGGAGGACCACGGTAACTCTCACGGGGCAGAAATACGCACAAACACACAAGTTATGATATGAACCCTTCCAGGCTTCACTATCATTATCATGTTATGTTCATCGTGCTCTGTATCTTGGAAACTAGTCATAGTATCAATACATGGAGGAAAATCTATATTAATATACTGTAATATTGCATTTTATTGCAAACCGTAAAAAATCTCGTTTAACCATTGGACGTGAGAGAAAGCACCACACACACTGGAGTTACGAAATGAAGAACCAAAGGACATAGGAGTGACCTACCTGATACACGTGTGTAGGGAGGCCTGCCGTATCAATGTGGACACGGTTGCTCAAAGGGTAAGTCGTATAATTCATCTTTGCATTTGTTGAGAAGAGTTAATATATATATATATATATATATATATATATATATATATATATATATATATATATATATATATATATATATATATATATATATATATATATATATATATATATATATATATGTATATATATATATATATATATATATATATATATATATATATATATATATATATATATACTTCACTCACCCTAGCAAATTAGTTAGCATAGCATAACCATGGGTTTTCTTACAGTTTGGCTGTGAGTTTTCTATTTTGTCTACCTGCCAGTTCAACAGGACTGCTAACCATCCTCCCAGCAACTCATATGCCATCCCAGACCCACAGCCTATATGTATGGTGCAAGACCGCAGTCCAATACATACAAGTAGGGCAGTCAAGCGTTGGTTTGAGATGCATACGCAGATTATTCTATTGGACTGGCACCCTAAAGGAGCCGATTGTAATCCAATAGAAAATCTATGGGCGCATATGGTTGTTGAATGGGATGTTGAGGAGAAAACGAGGGAGGCAGTGAGGAGACACGCACATAATGTGTGGGAGGGAATAAGGAGGAGGCCAAACATCTGCAGCAATCTGGTAGATTCCATGCCCACCAGATTGCATGAAGTTATACCAGCAGGTGGAGGTTGGGTACGGTATTAACCTGTGGTCAAGAATTAAATCTCCGCCCACGACGGTACCTTGTAGGGGGTGGCGGGGGAGATAGCTCTCTGGTGTAACCTCGTTGG